GAGGCCTGCCTGCGCGACCACCTGGCCGGGGCCACCTACTCGTCCTGGCTCTACCTGCAGAGCACCACCGCCGCCCTGCGCGACTGGGCCCTGGCCGCCCTCTCGGGGCGCTAGCCTGCGCCGCGCCGCGCCGTGCCGGGACCGGGACCAGGGGACCAAGCAGGGCGGGCCCGATCCTGGGCGGGGGGCCGGGGGCTCCATGTGTGGCTGTGCTCTGTCCCCGCGCACCATAAAGTCCTGCCCCTGCCGCACGGCGCTGTGCCGTGCTGCACCGCACCGCACCATGCTCTGCTCTGCTCGCCTTGCGCCACCGCCGCTGGGGGGAGGGGGGGCCCAGTGCCCACACCCCCCCCCGACCCCCCCCACCCATACCCACACACTCTTGGGGGCACGCCCAGGCGGGGGCCACGCCCCACTGGGGCGGGGTTCGATGCGGCGGCGTGGCTCTAGCGGCATGGGAACGGCGGGGGCGGGGCCAGAGTGGGTGGGGAGGCCCCGCCCCCGAGCGCTCCAGTTGGCCGCGCGCCTGCGCCTGCTCCGCCCCCTTGCTCGGCGCAGCCAATGGGCGGTCGCGTGGCTCCGGTGCTGGCACGGGCCAATGGGCGCGCGCGGTGTTGTCGCCGGGCGGGCCGGGCCTGGCCGCGCCGCGGCGGGGGAGTGCGGGCGGGCGAGGGGCTGCCGTGGGGCCCGATCCTGAGGGTCCTGTAACGTTACGTGCCGCGGGGAGCCGCCCTGGGGGTGACCTGGCGGAGCTACCCTGGGCGTGTGATCACGCGACAGTTGGGGGGGGGGGGCTGCCCTGGGGTGACGTCACGTGAAGTGGGGGCTGCGCTGGGGTGACATCACATGAACTGGGGGCTGCGCTGGGGTGACATCACACACTGCGCTGGGTTGGTGGGGTGAGGTCATATGCAGTGGGGCTGCCCTGGGGTGACCTCGCATGAAGTGGGGGCTGCGCTGCAGTGACATCACACGCGGTGGGGGCTGCCCTTGGCATGACATCACATGAACTGGGGGCGGTGCTGGGGTGACATCACACACCGTGATGGGGTGACGTCGCATGAAGCGGGGGCGGTGCTGGGGTGCCATCACATGCGGTGGGGGCAGTGCTGGGGTGCCGCGCGGCAGGTGCGGGGTGACCCTGGCACAGGGCCGGGCACTGAGGCGCGTGTGGCCGCAGGCGCAGGGGAGGATGAGCCCGCGGCCTGGCCGGGCGGCTCAGCATGGAGGCGCGCTGCGGCGGGCTCCTCTTCAGCTCCCGCTTTGACTCGGGGAACCTGGCGCACGTGGAGAAGGTGGAGGCGCCCGAGGGCGACAGGGACACGGGCGCGAGAGGACCCCGCG